AAGACTGCAGGAGCCCTTTGGGCTATTGCTGGAGCAAAAAATGCCCAAAGACGGTCAATTGCTGCTGAAATAGGCATCAATTTGCTCATTGAGTTTCTCTCTGAGAATTTACCTGAAAGCTTACACTTCATTGGTTCCGAGGCATTGGGTGTGCTTGCTCTGGGTGTGAGAAACAAGAGAGATGAAATTGCCAAGGCAAATGGTGTTATGCCTTTAGTTCGTCTTTTGGGAAAAGTTAACACACCAGGTAATATTGTTCGCAGTGTGCTGCAGACATTACGTGCACTGTGTCTCTGTCTAGGGTTCAGACCTCATGTCCACAATCAGGAGGCAGTGACCAAAGAAGGTGGCCTTAAATTCTTGATCAGGTACATGGTTCAAGCCCGTCAGGACATCATCAAAGTTGAGGCTGCGTACACATTGGGCTGTGTTTGTTTGAGTAATAATGCTAACATGAAAGCTGTCTTAGATCACAAAGATTTCAGCTTTTTACACATGCTAAGACAACTTTATGATGAAGACGAAGAGGTCCATCTTTTGGCAGGAGCTGCACTTGCCATGTTTGCTTATAACAATGTTGCAAATCAAAGAAATATTGCCATGTCTGGTGGTGTAAGATACAATGCTTTTCTCCCATTTTTGGAGTCCAAGAATGAGAAACAGTCAACGTATGCTGCTTTTCAAGTAGTGGTTTTATCACGGATCATTCCAGATGAAGATCAGTCACTAACATCTGCCACAGGAATAAAGCTGTTAGTCTCGCATCTGAACTCAAACAATGAAGACATTCAAACAGCTGCAGCAAACTTCATTGGTGGCCTTGCCCATACAAGAGCTGGCATCCCAGGTGCAATCATCTCCATCGGAACAATTCCCTTATTAGGGAAACTCTTGATGTCCCAGTATGAAACTGTTCAGGCAGCAGCCTCTGTTGCCCTTGGTTATCTCAGCTATGACAGTATAGGTGAGAGGCAGCTCCTAGGGGTTTGTCGTCATGATCCCTTTCTCTATGAAGTTATTCAGTTTCATGCGGGAAAGGTCAAGCTGTCACCTCAGTTTGTGGAGAGATGGCAACACTGCAAGATGATTGGTCTTCCACCCATCACGTGAGTTTTCTTATCTTGTACTGGGTGTGGCCCAGGAGGTGCTCAAATATGATTATCATGGGGAGGTGCACATACATTTTGAGGGTTTGTGAAATGTGGGATGCAAGGATATTTGGGGTAAAAAATGTAGTTTACCTAGGTTTCTGGGAAGATTCTATTACTAGCAGTTACCATGGTTAGGAAGTGCGGGTGAAAATGTGGGTTAACCTTAGAGATGTGATTGATTAGAACCGCTTTCATAATTGCATGTGAATTTAGTTTCAGTGTCAACAAAAGAAAATGCTGCGGAACATGCACGTAGAAACTGAATTGAACAACACAGTAAACAATACTCATATTTAATTCAACGATTTCATTCTACAATTAGCCTGAGGAGTGATGATGAGGAGTGTGGAGAGAAAGCTCTTTTCACATTCAAAGATACAATTAAAACAGTAATGTATGACACAATGTATACAGTCACGACTGCACGAAGTCTTATTTAAATATTCAATCGGGTATTCAATCAATCCATCTTGAATAACCAAAGGCCGTTGATATGCAAAAGAAAATAGTGAAAAAATCTTAGTTTACCACTGGAGTTTGAAGCTTATTGAAGCTTTCAGATGACAAGTGACATCACATGCTTGTAAATGTAAGCCTATAAAAATGCAAAAACCATGCACTTGAGTGAAACCTGAATAAACTTAAGTTACATGGATTTCAAGACTTTGCTAACACTCGTATCTTACCAATCACTCGTCCAGCACTCAGCTGAGATCGGGCTCTACTTTCATTTTCCTACGTAAATAGATTCCCAGCTGGCAAGGCGAATTGAAAAGCCTCATATTTGGTACAGAACTATGTGGGCTTGCAAATCGAACAATGATTCTTGCATGTGCATTGACGTGATTACTGTGACATCAGACGGACCTTACACTCAACACCATGTATATTAGTCGGTACAACATGAGTATCCCAAGAATGTGGACAGATTAGGGAAAAACCCTGCTATACATTTCATAGAGTACTGCTGACCAAGAATAGGCTACGGGTTCATTCACGCTTGTCTTATGAAATTTTTCACATAGCACCCCTATTAAAATCTTGTTTTGTCATGTGAAAGCATGAACTGTAAACAACTCTGTTTCTCAATTTTCTTGGTCAGTAAAAATCCTTTTTCTAATTTGGCATTTTTAGGAAGAAGACTGACCAGTTGCTTTCTGTGGAAAAGAAAATGGTAACAGCACACTTTGCCCTAGATGCAGAGCAGGCATTCACCATAGCAAGCACAAATGAGTCACCTGGAGGTATGGCATCAGATGGAATGCCAGAAAGAAAGATATCTGCTTCTACAAGTCTAAGAACTGGAACAGTACTTCGCCTTCCAATAGCATGATGTTACATTATTCTATAGTCTGTATGGAGGTAACATTTGTATAAGTGGAAGAGATTCTCTGGCCAACATTCCAAAATCTACAGGTCAGGAAGTGCAATTTTCAGCATTTTGAGTAGGGGGTGATTTCTATTATGAATAATGAAGGATGTAGAAAGGAAGACAAGGAAACATCCTTTCGACTCTACCTGGTTTCCAGCTACAGCATTGTACAAAAAAGCACTTTCATTGAGCATTGAATTCTTTGGTACAATGTTGTATATTGAGGACAATAAAGAAATTATATTGATTATAGTCAAACTTTGTTAAAACAGACTTCAAAAGAACAGATTCAGGTAACTGTATTATGATTGAGTCTGACACTGTATATGCACTCTTGACCAAGCGAGAGGTCAAGAAGGGTGGATATTGGCTAAGTACATTGTTTGGCATTTTTATGGACTGAGACTGTATAATAATTTAATATAGAGGAATGAATTGTATGAATTAACTTGTTATCTTTGAGAACAAGAGCACTGCCCATTAAAGAGCGAAGTCTGTATTACAGAGAAGTCTGTAAGGAAACATTCAACCATGATCAATGCAAAAAAGTATTGTGAAAAGTTTTGCAGAGTGTGTTTGCTTCTTTGACATGTGAGAGTGAGATAGTTCTGTGTGAATACATAAGAAAGGCACAAGATATGAACAGAAATTACTTTATTGTTGGTGTGAAGTTAATGTTAAAAGTTAAAATGAATTTTGGTCAAAATAACTTCAAACCACCAGCAGCATCAGTACCGTATGCATAAATTAAATATTATTGTACTGAAATAAACTGGTTTGAAAACATTCTGACCTACATTAAATTTTAGTTTAACTATGTTGTAGATCAAAATCAAAAGTAGGTTTAAACTTCATAACCAAGGTTGATTTTTTATTTCCCGTGTCTCCTAACCACAATAAATTATTTATCGTTCATGATCATGTATAACAATATCATGATTATTATTAGGGTAAGAGACAAAGGAAACTGAGAAGTAAAGTACATAAGAAATTTATATCTTATATTCTTAGAAAAGACAGATCAGAGGTTTCTCATGCAGTATTTTCTTTAATTACCAAAACTAATCAAAAGATGGACACAAAAGACTGTTAAATCAAGTACATGTAGTTATCAGATGACATTACTGTACACATACATGTTTGTAAATAATTTTGTTGCACAAAAAAATGTTTTACCTATCCACACGTATTCATGAAAGTACATGTAGAAAAGAAATAAATTTATTTACAAGTGTCTTCATTTTTTGTATGGTTTCCATATTGGTTCTCATGTATCATCACAAGCTGTCTGATAAGGAGTGATACAGTCAACTCTCTCTAAGATGCACACCTTTGGGACCGGCACTAGCTGTCCATCTTAGAGAGATGTCAGTCTTATAAAGAGTCAAATAGAGGGAGGAAAGAAAGGCAGGGACCAACTCTAGGTGTCCATTTTACAGAGGTGTCCGTCTTATAGAGGTGTCCGTTAAGAGAGAGTCGACTGTATATTTATGGTTGGTGTGTTTGCTTTTCTATTCAAAGCCTTTTGTGGCCTAAAGTCAGTGTCAACCAGGTTCCACTGTTTATTCAATGGTATGTAACCTTTTGTGTCCTTGTCACGACTGGCAAATCCACTGCCAAAATGGAAGTAGAGAACACTGTTTCTTAACGATGTCTCAAAATGGAAACATCTTTCAGCACTTCATCTGTGTTGACATCGGAATTCATCTTGGTCGGCCCTTGTCACCATCCCAGTGATACTTATTGACCAAAGTTATGGGGAAATTTAGAAAGATCCCTCCATAATTACCAAGTATTTAAAATGTGACATTGATATGAAGTTTAAAACCCTGACTTTGAGGATAATCCTATCCTTATCGACTACCCATAATTACAGGAAGAAAATTATGATTTAGCGGCATTGTTTCGACTGACTGGCTTCCATAAAACCACAGATATCACTGTCGCGCTGCAAGACACTGGTTCACAACCTCCAATAAGTGAGTATTTTCCAAAGCTGCAGCAACCCTTTCTTTGTCAGCCAGCTGTTTGTTAACTGTAAATAAATCGTGGGAGTTAACTTAATAATGAGGTAATAAGATAGATTAGTCCCTGAATTTACAACAAGTCAATGTTGATTATGGTGCACTGTAAACGGATAATAGTTTCATTTAGTACCAAATTTATCACAACTAAATTGTTGAATACAGACCTTCTAACAGGGTACCAAAAATATTGGGAAATTATGCAGAATTTCCAGGGAGGGGCGACATTACGCTACAAAAAGGGGTGTTACGCGTAAAGTTAAGGAATTCAAGCTAAATGTTTAAAAGCTAATAGATCAAATGGACATGATCTCACTATCCTATAATGTTAGATGCCCGGTAATATCTTGAAAACCAGGGTGCAAAGAAAATCAGTTTAATGTACAGATCGCCATACAGGCAAGCTGTAGCTAACATGTGCTAGCCGAAGAGCCACTTTAACTAGTCCGAAAAGAATTTTTGATCAGTAGCATTGATTATGTTTGTAATTTGAATTCCTCAAAAATCTTCAGTTGCCTGTTGGGCAAGTTGAGAACAGAATTCATTAGGCGGATAGAAAAATCTACTTGCCCCAGGCTATCAGACACCACTTTCTTTACATGCTGAAAATCTGGGAGAGAGGTAAAAATCATCAATGCTCTATGACTTCTAATTATACCAAAAAAACCATTATCAAGATGTTCTATAATAACGTTAGCACCTGCACATGTAGTTTGTAGTAACAAAGTAGTAATATTTATTGGTATTTTGTCATGTTTTTCATGAATTAAGTTTTTAGAATGATGAATTTTTTAAAAGGCTTATACCTGCATCTTCTGATGCATGAGTTCCTGGAGTAATACTCACATCAACCTATTGAAAAGAAAAAAAATGCCACTTTTCATAGTGTAAAGAAGATCATTTACTAGCCCAGACATCATTTCAACTAGCCCCAAAAGCAGAATTGATTTCACACTTCTTCTGTTTTTCAAATTCCTCAAAGAACATCACTTGCCCATTGGGCTAGTTAAAACAGATTTCACTAGCCTGATAGCAAAATCCACTAGCCCCGGGCTATTGGACCCTACTTTCTTTTCACGCTGCTTTTTAAAAATACTGTAAAATGATGATGCAATTTGACCAATACTTATAACTGACAACAAAAATCTGTTAGAAAAGTGATAATACCCAAGAACACAGCTAATAAAGACTGACTCATCGTACAGTCAAACCTCACTGTACGGACACTCATTATTACCGACAGTTTGCTTACTTTCTTGGATCAATTTAGGTTTTTGGGAAACTGCCTACCTGCCCCTCCCCTAAGCCAACATTATCATTTAATTCTCACTTAGGGCAAAATGTTGGCTTAGGGAAGGGGTAGNAAAAAACCATTTATAAGGTGTTTTGTGATAACGTTTGCACCTGCAAATTGTATTTGGAGTAAAAAAATTATAATATTTTTTTGTATTTTTTTCTGGTTTTTCTGGATTAAGTTTTTAAGAATGAGAAATTTTTAAAAAGGCTTATACCTGCATCTTCTGATGCATGAGTTCCTGGAGTAATACTCACATCAACCTATTGAAAAGAAAAAAAATGCCACTTTTCATAGTGTAAAGAAGATCATTTACTAGCCCAGACATCATTTCAACTAGCCCCAAAAGCAGAATTGATTTCACACTTCTTCTGTTTTTCAAATTCCTCAAAGAACATCACTTGCCCATTGGGCTAGTTAAAACAGATTTCACTAGCCTGATAGCAAAATCCACTAGCCCCGGGCTATTGGACCCTACTTTCTTTTCACGCTGCTTTTTAAAAATACTGTAAAATGATGATGCAATTTGACCAATACTTATAACTGACAACAAAAATCTGTTAGAAAAGTGATAATACCCAAGAACACAGCTAATAAAGACTGACTCATCGTACAGTCAAACCTCACTGTACGGACACTCATTATTACCGACAGTTTGCTTACTTTCTTGGATCAATTTAGGTTTTTGGGAAACTGCCTACCTGCCCCTCCCCTAAGCCAACATTATCATTTAATTCTCACTTAGGGCAAAATGTTGGCTTAGGGAAGGGGTAGATGGGCAGTTTCCCAAAAACCTAAATTAATCCACTTTCTTTCTGGGCAAATAAAGCCCTCAAATTTTCACTAGATTCAACCCACTTAATACGGACACTCGAATACCGATACTTTCTGTGGGCAGGCCCCCTTTGGTGTCTGTATTAATGGCATTTGACTGTACTCTCATCAGAAAAGCTGTTAACCCTTTAAGCCCCAATATCCACATACAAATTCTCCAAACTGATATCCATACATTTTCTTTAAGAATTGGTTGAGAGAATTTGATATAAGGTCATGGAATTTTCTCTATAGTGATCATTTTATTAATTGTCATAACGTTATCTGTTGACAGTGTATGGATGTTGTGCGAAGAAAATTGCTGTTGGTCACTATTGGCACTTATAGGGTTAACATCTCCCTGACACCAGTCTACAAAGCAGCAGTTTTAAGAGGCTACTGATAAAAACGTTGCTGCTAGTATTGCTGATATACAAATTTGCTTCCTACATTCATATTGTTGGAGAATGAGCCTTGTAATAATGTTATTAAAATTCCAGTAAATTATCATGAAGTTAACTTACCTTGAACCTGTCAGGCAGCGATCTGAGAAGCTGTACTCGAATGGCTAATCCAATGAGTGTTGCCATGCTGCAATGTGGTATTGTAGGCGTGAACTGTATTTTGACATAATCATTGTCATCATCCACTTTCACTAAGGACTGTTCAACAACGTTTAACTGTTCAAGCGTAAGGGGGTGTTCTGGGTCATTGATGGAACGAATGAGATCTAAACCAGTCAAGGAAAAACCTGCACCCTAGAGTTTATTTATGCTTATGTACCAGTCAACACCACCACCACCCTCCCCCCTCCTCCTCACCCCCCACCAGATATATATTTCGGTTGTGTTTGGTAGGATATTTACATCACTTTAATACCTGGTGGGTGGGGGATTTGACGCTTTTTGAAGCACTGGCCGGTGGGGTGTTTGACCATCTAAACTGCCAACATATCGAATTTGACCAAAATTTTTCAAAAAAGTCAAATGCCCGGGGGTTTGCCCAGGGGGGTACTCCTGGGAATTTTTGATGGAGGTTTGCTCCCCAGTTCTCCAAATCCTGACCCTATTTCAGACCACAAAATGTCATTTTTCACAGCAGTTTTCAGAGCTGGCCTTTAAAATCCATACCCATTTTCAGACCAAGCCCCAGCTGCTCAAAAGCTGGATAGCACTCTCCACCAGATAAATCACTATCCACTGGATAAGTATTAGGGAAACCAATTGCGCTATCCACTGGATAGAGATATTTTATGCAGTAGATAGTGCTATCTACCTTTTGAACAACTGGGTCCTGGCCTCTTAGAAAAATGTCATCACTACTTAGATTACAACAGCAACAAAAAAGATATTTCTTAAAATCTATTCCAAATTTGCATATTTGTCTTTCTTTCTTACTCATTTGGAATGTGCATACCCGATTCCAGACCAAACTGGGCAAAGTCTATACCCATTTTCAGACCAAAACGGCACAAAAATGCTACCCTTTGGGGCAGCACATACCCGTATGGCCTATGTAAAGGGAGTACTCCCCCCCCACCCCCCGGAGCCTATAAAGATTGAAGAGTGCTTTTAAAATGTGTATTTGACACAGTGCTGTCAACTCTCCCAGATAATCAGGGAGACTCCAGATTTTGGTCTGTATCTCCCGGTCTCCCGATTAGAGTATGAAATCTCCCTGATATTCACCAAAGTTTGCCATTCGGTAGTAGACTCCACTTTCTGGCAATAAACTTTTAAATATTTTGTGTTGTTTGAGCTATTTTACTGTTAACATCGAACGTTTCCTCATAAACTTTGGTATGGTATATTATGCCATTGCAATGTACACTATAATGTGAAACATCACAAATTCGTGACGATTGGGTGAACAAGTATTTTTTGCACAAATGACGTCATATACCGTGCGATATAACGTCATCCATCCCTTCCCTATTAATTCTCAATATTTGAAGACTTGTGGGGTTGATAGCCCTGTTGACGTTATTTAAGCGTGAGAATGCCTAATGAGATCAGGCCCAATTTTAGCAGCTTCCATACATTCTCTCTTACGTGGTCGCGCAAAACAACATTAACATTAGAGAAAGCCTGAAGCTGAACAATATATGGAGATAATTTAACCGAATTGCACAAGCAGTGGCTTAAAAAGGATATCGAATACTTCTCTTTCGTCGATCTTATCAACAACATCTTCATCCTCTTCTTCTGGAAGTACCAGCCGCTCTTGTTTTTGTTGAAAAACAGTGGGATTGGCATTCTCCAAAGTGGACGCCATCTTGGTTTTCTACGCTCCACTTGAACGCTGGGAATGTCTCGTTCGTTCCAGGTTTCCTCCGTAGCGTAAAGACGCCTACTTATTCTTGTGTTTTCCAGTGAATGCGCGCGGTAAATCCTCACGTAACTGATTTTGACCATTTTGGGAGGATTTTTGGGAGAGAATTAAAGGATTACTTCTCAGATATTTTGCATAAATCTTAAGGTAAGCAAAATGTTTATTTCTGATTTTCTTTGGTTGGTGAATTTAACTGTTGAAACGTGAATGAATTTAAGAAAGCGTCAAGAAACAAGGGCGGGAAAACTCAAATAATATAGTGATGTAAGCTTACTTGTGTTGATTTTCAGCGCAATTCGTCAGCTCAGTTGTTTATCATGAGACGGTGTAAATTCGTTTTATTTCGTCTGTGCACTTATCCCGAAGACGATGGGTTGTAGGTTTTGGAAACTTCGTAAAACAAAATAAGATCTTCCGATTATGAACTATTAACCTGAACGTTATAAGCTTTTTTTAATTTTTACTGTTTTTAATACTCACCTGAAAAATACTAGAAGTTGATGCCGAACGCAGACGCAAATGACTGATCTGTAAAACCATACTAACTTACTTAATACTATGGTGAGACACTGAACAACCATGATAGTTCGCAAATTGAATTCAATACCATTGTTTTATCATTTAGCCAGTTTGCTTGTTTTTTATATATTTCCTTTGGGTATACATCTGGAGCTGCCACAATTCCCGAAGAGAGTTTAATACTTAGTGACTGTGAAACCAAACCAGTCATTTTGATTCCAATTTGTTTCGATACAAGTCGTTTTGATACAAACTCAAGCAGTGAAATCCCCCCGCCCCCTCCAAAAAAAAAAAAAAAAATTGACCACTTCAGCTATAGTTTGCGCATGAATAAGAAAAACATTTGGGCTGAACATTTGACTGCGCACAGCCATAGAATCTTCCACAGCAAAGATGACTTTTTCCTCTACAGTTCATGAGCAGACCTTTGTCCATATAAAAAGCAGTTAATCTGCAGGTCAGGAAATATATAATCACCAGTCACACAGGCCAATCAAAACCTCTGAAAAAACAATTTGAATGATTGATTGCGTTCAAGGTACGAGAACACAACCCCTAATTTGTGTTGGGTGTTCTGTGCATTATTGGGTGTCCTGTGCAATGAATAAGGGAGGTTTTTTTGAGATTGCATTTTTGTCGTCGACACACATTTGCCTTGCTTTGAGGCGCTTGCTTACGGGTTGCCTCACTTTGACGCGCTAACTTATGTGGTGATTCTTGTGTCTGTGGCGTTCATCTTTCAAAGGTTTGCCGAGGTCTGATATTCTGTCTTCGTAAAGCGTTTATCTTTTAAAAAGTTTGCTGAATCTTCGTAAAGCGTACATCAAAAACCTGTCAGGCAGCGATCTGAGAAGCTGTACTCGAATGGCTAATCCAATGAGTGTTGCCATGCTGCAATGTGGTATTGTAGGCGTGAACTGTATTTTGACATAATCATTGTCATCATCCACTTTCACTAAGGACTGTTCAACAACGTTTAACTGTTCAAGCGTAAGGGGGTGTTCTGGGTCATTGATGGAACGAATGAGATCTAAACCAGTCAAGGAAAAACCTGCACCCTAGAGTTTATTTATGCTTATGTACCAGTCAACACCACCACCACCCTCCCCCCTCCTCCTCACCCCCCACCAGATATATATTTCGGTTGTGTTTGGTAGGATATTTACATCACTTTAATACCTGGTGGGTGGGGGATTTGACGCTTTTTGAAGCACTGGCCGGTGGGGTGTTTGACCATCTAAACTGCCAACATATCGAATTTGACCAAAATTTTTCAAAAAAGTCAAATGCCCGGGGGTTTGCCCAGGGGGGTACTCCTGGGAATTTTTGATGGAGGTTTGCTCCCCAGTTCTCCAAATCCTGACCCTATTTCAGACCACAAAATGTCATTTTTCACAGCAGTTTTCAGAGCTGGCCTTTAAAATCCATACCCATTTTCAGACCAAGCCCCAGCTGCTCAAAAGCTGGATAGCACTCTCCACCAGATAAATCACTATCCACTGGATAAGTATTAGGGAAACCAATTGCGCTATCCACTGGATAGAGATATTTTATGCAGTAGATAGTGCTATCTACCTTTTGAACAACTGGGTCCTGGCCTCTTAGAAAAATGTCATCACTACTTAGATTACAACAGCAACAAAAAAGATATTTCTTAAAATCTATTCCAAATTTGCATATTTGTCTTTCTTTCTTACTCATTTGGAATGTGCATACCCGATTCCAGACCAAACTGGGCAAAGTCTATACCCATTTTCAGACCAAAACGGCACAAAAATGCTACCCTTTGGGGCAGCACATACCCGTATGGCCTATGTAAAGGGAGTACTCCCCCCCCACCCCCCGGAGCCTATAAAGATTGAAGAGTGCTTTTAAAATGTGTATTTGACACAGTGCTGTCAACTCTCCCAGATAATCAGGGAGACTCCAGATTTTGGTCTGTATCTCCCGGTCTCCCGATTAGAGTATGAAATCTCCCTGATATTCACCAAAGTTTGCCATTCGGTAGTAGACTCCACTTTCTGGCAATAAACTTTTAAATATTTTGTGTTGTTTGAGCTATTTTACTGTTAACATCGAACGTTTCCTCATAAACTTTGGTATGGTATATTATGCCATTGCAATGTACACTATAATGTGAAACATCACAAATTCGTGACGATTGGGTGAACAAGTATTTTTTGCACAAATGACGTCATATACCGTGCGATATAACGTCATCCATCCCTTCCCTATTAATTCTCAATATTTGAAGACTTGTGGGGTTGATAGCCCTGTTGACGTTATTTAAGCGTGAGAATGCCTAATGAGATCAGGCCCAATTTTAGCAGCTTCCATACATTCTCTCTTACGTGGTCGCGCAAAACAACATTAACATTAGAGAAAGCCTGAAGCTGAACAATATATGGAGATAATTTAACCGAATTGCACAAGCAGTGGCTTAAAAAGGATATCGAATACTTCTCTTTCGTCGATCTTATCAACAACATCTTCATCCTCTTCTTCTGGAAGTACCAGCCGCTCTTGTTTTTGTTGAAAAACAGTGGGATTGGCATTCTCCAAAGTGGACGCCATCTTGGTTTTCTACGCTCCACTTGAACGCTGGGAATGTCTCGTTCGTTCCAGGTTTCCTCCGTAGCGTAAAGACGCCTACTTATTCTTGTGTTTTCCAGTGAATGCGCGCGGTAAATCCTCACGTAACTGATTTTGACCATTTTGGGAGGATTTTTGGGAGAGAATTAAAGGATTACTTCTCAGATATTTTGCATAAATCTTAAGGTAAGCAAAATGTTTATTTCTGATTTTCTTTGGTTGGTGAATTTAACTGTTGAAACGTGAATGAATTTAAGAAAGCGTCAAGAAACAAGGGCGGGAAAACTAAAATAATATAGGGATGTAAGCTTACTTGTGTTGATTTTCAGCGCAATTCGTCAGCTCAGTTGTTTATCATGAGACGGTGTAAATTCGTTTTATTTCGTCTGTGCACTTATCCCGAAGACGATGGGTTGTAGGTTTTGGAAACTTCGTAAAACAAAATAAGATCTTCCGATTATGAACTATTAACCTGAACGTTATAAGCTTTTTTTAATTTTTACTGTTTTTAATACTCACCTGAAAAATACTAGAAGTTGATGCCGAACGCAGACGCAAATGACTGATCTGTAAAACCATACTAACTTACTTAATACTATGGTGAGACACTGAACAACCATGATAGTTCGCAAATTGAATTCAATACCATTGTTTTATCATTTAGCCAGTTTGCTTGTTTTTTATATATTTCCTTTGGGTATACATCTGGAGCTGCCACAATTCCCGAAGAGAGTTTAATACTTAGTGACTGTGAAACCAAACCAGTCATTTTGATTCCAATTTGTTTCGATACAAGTCGTTTTGATACAAACTCAAGCAGTGAAATCCCCCCGCCCCCTCCAAAAAAAAAAAAAAAAATTGACCACTTCAGCTATAGTTTGCGCATGAATAAGAAAAACATTTGGGCTGAACATTTGACTGCGCACAGCCATAGAATCTTCCACAGCAAAGATGACTTTTTCCTCTACAGTTCATGAGCAGACCTTTGTCCATATAAAAAGCAGTTAATCTGCAGGTCAGGAAATATATAATCACCAGTCACACAGGCCAATCAAAACCTCTGAAAAAACAATTTGAATGATTGATTGCGTTCAAGGTACGAGAACACAACCCCTAATTTGTGTTGGGTGTTCTGTGCATTATTGGGTGTCCTGTGCAATGAATAAGGGAGGTTTTTTTGAGATTGCATTTTTGTCGTCGACACACATTTGCCTTGCTTTGAGGCGCTTGCTTACGGGTTGCCTCACTTTGACGCGCTAACTTATGTGGTGATTCTTGTGTCTGTGGCGTTCATCTTTCAAAGGTTTGCCGAGGTCTGATATTCTGTCTTCGTAAAGCGTTTATCTTTTAAAAAGTTTGCTGAATCTTCGTAAAGCGTACATCAATCTGTGCTTGTTGAATCGTCCAAAGCGTTCATCTTTCAGAAGTTTGCTGTTAAATTTTACTTTAGATTAAGCCTTCATATTTTTCAGCATGGTTCATCACTGTCTTTGGAAAATGTCTGCGACTCCTGGTGCATGCATCAAACCGGGTTTAGTTTGGCAGCCCTTTGTGCCACAAAGTAAATTTGCCAAGTTGTGTAGCTCGACGACCGTTGTGTCACAAAGTAAATCTACCGAGTTGTGTAGCTCGGCAGCGGTTGTGCCACAAAGTAAATCTACAGAGGTGTGAAGTTTGGCGGCCCCATTTGATCATGACTTGTAATATTTTAGGCACCGGACAAACAAACACTTTAACTCTAGGTTATTTATTAGGAAAAACTTATAAACCAGCCCACAGTAGCGCCACTCTCAAGTCACTTGAATCGACACGCTCGATCAAATTATTGAAAAAGTTATTGACGTGAGCCGCACACACATTCCATTAAAGGCTTTGACAGGGTTAGTGAGAAGTTTGAATTCAGATGTGAAAGCTTTTAAAACAGTAAATTCAATGTAATTCATTTTGTCAACAAGTTGATGATTGGATGCTCTTAAAAATAACAGAGAAAATTATCCGAAGAATTGTTTTTGAAGAAAGAAAATGAATCCCGGGTTAAGCACTAATCGGCCTTTGAGCAACTGCGCCCTGTAACTCGCGCCAGTAAAACAAAATGTTCTATTTACACGCCCGAAGCACTCTGGCCAATGTCTCCTCTGATTACAAGCACTTGACACCGAACCATACGATATTTTTTCGAAACCTTCTTATAATGATACACAGTTTAAATAGAGGTTTCGCTGTACGCAACCCTTACGTTCAAAATATGCCATAATCATATTTATCTATATCGCAACCACCCTTCCCCCTCAACTGCTACCTGTACGCCTAACAAACATATCGAACGCACTCTCCTAAGCTCTGATTATTCCTAGTTATACTATTTTTTAATGCAGATTTGTATAGTGTATCAAAAAAAAACTTTTCAGAAAACTAATTTACACGATGAGGTACATTGTGCTGCAAATTCTATGAATTTCCCGGGGCTAAGATTGTTAATAGAAGGGAAAGAAAGCTTCAAATATGCAGAGATGAGTTGTTTATAGGATACAGTTAAGGAAATATGGAAGCCCTGTTTAATATACATAGAACTCAAGGCTGTGCAAAAAGAAAAATTGTAAGGAGTCCAGTGCAGAATTTTATTGTTGCCCATAGGTAAAATTAGGTTGCCAGGTAGCCACTGGTACTTATATAAATAAAATATTATTATTATTATTATTATTATTATTATTATTATTATTATTATTATTTATTTTTAAAGATTATCTCTAAGTAGGTTTTAAAAGAATTTTAAAATGTGTACTTAATGTACTTAGTCTTCGAATGAAAATGAATCAGGAAAGAAGGAGGTAATGAGCAACATCTCTCTTCTATCTCACTTGCATTTAAGTACAGCTAATCTTTTATTTTACTAGCTTATATGTGTTAAATATTGTACATCACTTCAGTCAGTCCATCTATCCCTTAAGGGTTTCATTGGTCGTGAAAAGTCCTTAAATCATTTTTTTAGCTTAAATTAACTCTATTTAAAGTACAGTGTATGTGGTAACCTCTTTAACAAAGCATTTATTTACTGGTTCCACTGGCCAGCTCTAATGACGAGGTCTGGGTTGTTTGAATGAGGATAAAGTTCAAATCCAGGGCTAGTTACCATAGTTTCTCATTAACCTCTTATGTAAATGTCAAATTTTAGGAGCCAGTAAAGTGTTTTCTTTCAATGTAGCTCTGGCTCTGAGTAAAGCTAATTTTGTTTGCTGAGATATTGGCCCAAAACAAACAAATCAACCCTTTGCTGTACTATTGCCAGCCTTGCATTCATATTGGTTTTAATTTCCACTTAAAGTATGTCTGGCTCTAACATCTCTACATTAGAGATCTGGCAAGAAGGAACCAGTCGGTTTTATCTACCAGTGAGTGGATCTTTGCATTCTAAGGTTTTTACCACTTATAGTTAGTTTCTAAAAAAAACTGTTGTGAACGGCTGTTCTCCTGACATTTCAGTAAACCCAGAAATAGGGCAAATCAGCCTCAGTAATCGTTAGGGGTTCACCGCTCGGTCAAACTTGGGCCCTGTGACATCACCCGGAGAAACTCTGTCAACCTTTTTCATACTTTACGTGGACAACATGGCGAAAGGTAATTATGCTTAAGGAGTCTAGGCAGGGGCTAACCAAGCTTTGAACGATTTGGTTCTGGTGATTTGGTCCTTAGTAGGTAAAGTTCCTTACTACTTTCGCATTTTGGAGTTGGAGGAGGAGCCTGTGGAAATTTAAATGCAGAGCTATCTGGTCTTAGTACGTTGTCATTTAAGTTGTCTTCTCCCACTTCTTCTAAACAAGGTGGGTGGTAGTCCTGTTCTGTGTTTCCTGTGGGTATCCTGTGAAGCTTTTTGAGCGATTTTCGCGGCCTGATAGGTTTGATAAGTTTGGGTTTCTCGTGGACTTCCCACTGGTACATAACAATTCGTGGAAAAACGACATCTTCAGCGCTTAGGTGTTGCAGTTTATCAGGTGGCTCTCTGCTAACAAGATCATTTTGGATCATTTTGTACGAAAACGCTACTCTAGTTGGAGCACCTTTGAGCTCAAATTGGCTTTTTTGCTGGGCATAAAGGTCAATACTTCTCAAATTAGTCCCTTTGTTTTTGTTACCACTTATAACAGGACTCAATTTCGCCAACTTTTTAACTTCGTGAGTGTTGTCTTCTGCCACCGAGGAAACTTTTTCCCTTTGTTCAACTGATTTTTCGTTGGCTTTCATATTTGCTTCTGCGTTTTTCTCTGGTGAGCCACATTTTTGCTGTTCCCCGCTATTGGACTTTCTCTTGCCATGAGCGTTCAAAAGTTTTTCTCCGTCGGTTTCGGGTATTCGGTCCAGTGTTGCTCGAAAAGCGTACCGTGATATATTAGCCTCGTTCATCGCGTGACCAACAGCCGTTGGTTCACATATGAGGTAGTTTGTGCCTTTCGCATCACTTGGCCGTCTTAGTTTCTCGCCTTTTGCTCTCGAGGAGAGCGGCATATTCGCAACGTTCAAAAAGCTATTTGCTCTAGGCAAACGAATCCCTTGACGATCGAATCTCGAGGGTGTATCTGCGCGCCGGTTTTGTGATTTGTTTACTATTTTCGGTAGGCTAATGGTAGATGACATCTCTTTCCAGTCGCTTTCTTGTTCGTTTGACCCGCAGGAAATATCGTCGTCAAAATCTTCTCCCACATGTTCTGGAATTGATTCGAGGGTTTTGACGCGATATAACATGTTCCTAGCGTTTGTTCTTTCCACCAAGTACGGCAGAGAATTTCTTTCACGCATAATTCCACGTTTTTGCGGCGTAAAGAAGCTGCAGTCAAATCTCCACCGTTTATAGCTTGCTTCTTAAAGTTTAAAGTTCAAAACTTTTCTGGATCAACTGTTCTCCTTTTGAACAAGTGTACATTCAAATCGAAGCCATGAAAGTTGTTTATGAGATTTTCCTATCTTCGAGTTGTTGATGTAATTCTCAGTGTGTTCCTTTTAGAGTTTTCTTAAATTTAACTTCAACGGTTTCCTTGACTTTCGTGAGCCAGCTGCGATAGATACGTAAAACATTCCTGTTAGCATCAAGTAAAAAAATGAAAACTTCACTAATTATCGAGTTTTTATCTGCCTGTAGTACAAAATACGCCGGACTTAACATTTTGTAACTTTGCCTACCCCGTTCAAAACGCTGCTCCCGCTCTCTATAGCAACTTCTTTTTCTTCGCTGTGTTTTTTTTTTCAGTGTTGCTTCTGTTCCGCCCATAAGACCCAACAAACATATCAGTTGAACGTATTTGAAATAAACGCATTAGGACCTAGACGGCTTAAATACGACGAAGTACAAAATTGGCGTTTGTTTTGCTCGCGTTTGTTGTAAAACTAAACAAACTGTTGTTGTGATGAAATCTTAGTTTAGT